CTCTCAATTAACTGTGCCTATTTAGTGTGTATATTACTCGTGCGAGAGTACATATTTAGGTAGTTGTTGAACAACATCACTCCTAACGTATGTGACAGATCAATACGGAGGTTTTAAAGGCGGGATTAGAAATAACGAAACCTTGGTCGATCGTAATGAGAGGTGAATTAGTGCCAGCTACCGTAGTTTGAGAGAATTCATCTAGTAAATTGTGATAGTTACTCGAGAGAGAGAGAGAGAGAGAGAGAGAGAGAGAGAGAGAGAGAGAGACACTTAAAGTACTCACGATCGGTAGAGAATACTTAGGCAAAATTATAGATGACGTAGCGAGAAGGATTCCGACAATTGGGAAAATCATAACTCTAGACCTCCTTAATATTTTCTCCAACCCCTAGTATCTTTAGTTGTTAATCTACTACCTTAATTTGTTAGTTAATTAGATATGAGAATCTTAATATTTATAACTTAGGAATTGTTCGAGCTTGTCTTCTAAATGATAGTAAACAGTTGTAGCTAAACCTTAGTTATCTGTGGGATTCGACTCCGGACTCTTAGACCGGATTATATTTGCAGCTACCGCTCATCCTCTTTAGGACTAGAGTTGTGCGTGATCAATAGTCGTCTTATATAACAACTTTTCTTATTGAACATCAGTTTCTTTTTTCCTACATTGTGGATTACTACTAAAGTCCTATATGCTTATTCCACATAAGCCCTTCAATTTTGATTTTTTTTGTCTGCAGACGACGACAATAACAACACAATGAAATCCCACAAGTGAAGTTTGAAGAGGGTAGTGTGTATGTAGACCCTATCCTTACCCTGAGGGAGTAGAGAAGCTGTTTTCGATAGACCTCCGACTCAAGAAGCCGATTTTTAGAGAAATGTCGAAATTCTAATTATGCTAGGATGATATATAGTAATGAAATTCGCAAAAAGTCATATGCATAGACTATTTAGTTTTATGTTGGATCAAGTTTTGTCAACCACTTTACTCTTAATTTTAAAAGTATAAATAAGAAAAGTGTGAGCACCTAATTTTTTGATTATATTTAAATTTTTTACCACTTTTAGTATGTAATTTTTTTTAAAAGTTATTCTAGATATTTAATCTTCTGTTTTATCTTTTGTAGATCTTTTTTAAGAAAATCGAAAAGAAAATTAAAAACCGCAAAAAGAGTTACACTTTTAGATATTAGTTTTATTTTTCATTTACAAAGAAAAGAAAATTCACAAAAAATATGATTTCTTCTTGTGATAAGTTAGTATTTTATAAGTCTTTTTAGTAATTTCTTATACTTTTCTAGGTCTAAGAATAGTTAGTTAACATTTTACCTTACTATTTTAATTTTACTAAAATAAAATTTTAATTTTGTTTGTTATTCTTTAAAAAAAAACCTAAAAAAGGAAAAAAGGAAAAGGACCATCTAGCAAAAAGGGGCAGGGCTGAAGGGGGACTAGGGGGCAAACAATAAAATGATAACAGGGGCTTAAATAGCCACAAAAACAGTGGAAATTCACCCCCAAACCAGCACAAAAAATCCGGCGATTGCTGCCGAAAAACCAGACATGAAATCCACCGTTTTCACCTCCAGAACGCCATTCATCTCCAGCACTTTTCGGCCATAAAGTCGTACTTTCAGCTCTAAAAACTCAGCTGAAAACGCAGCAGACTTCAGCCCCAAAATTCACCAAAAAATCAGTCAAAACGCAGCTGAAATTACTCCCTAAAAGCAGCTCAAAAACAACCCAAAATTCCCTAAAAAAACATCCCGAAATCTAGCCCCAAAACTCCCCAAATTCCAGCTCCAAAAATACCCCAAAACCACCATGAAACAACAGCACAAAACATCACTAACATACTATCGGAAGTCGTAGCTAAAGTGAGGTGTCGTTCGAATTTGCCGGGTTCGTCGAAGTTCTGATCTACAGATCGTTTTAGGAATGTGATTTGGGAGCTCCTCTTTCATTGTAAATGTTAGAGCATATGCAGCAATGAAGGTCCCTTTTCTTCTCTTAGTTTATTTTCGCTCATGAGTAGTTAATACCGTGCTCTTCGATATTTTTGCAGATTTGTTTGGGTTGCTCTGTTTTCTCTGATTTACTTACTGCTATTATTGTGCTTGATTGGTGAAGTTTGTGATATGCTCCTATCTTGTCTATGGTTTTATCATTGTTCTCTGCTGTTTTAATTGGTATTTAATTGGAATTGCTTGACTTACCGATTTTCAGTTGTTTATCTATCAAAAATAAGTTTCAATGTTGTTGATTCACCTTTTTGTTTTGGGTTTTCATGTAGACATTAGTTATAGTAAATTAATGGCCAGTTCGATTGTGTGGCTAATAAGGGCCATATGTGATTTTAATAATTTGAAATCAGTAAGTAGTTTAGGTTGCACAATGAGTTTTCTTTGACAGAATGCAAGTTAGTTATGTTTTAGTGGGCGTCGACTTTATTGGATAGAACATGGACCAAATAAATTTAGTTTCATCAGGCCAACTTGATTAGAACAAAAGCTGACTCATTTCCCTCAATTGTTCCATAATTCCTTGTCTCACAATACATCTCAAATGTAGTTAAAACACAATTATAGACGCGCTAGTTGCTTTAGGCGCGTTTGAAGAAATAAATCGTCATAGTTATAGGTACGGCTCCCCTGGCATAACCGTGACACTTAAATCCCAACCTCGAGTGCACGTATGTGACTTTACAACTTCAAATGATAATAAAATAAACATGTTTATAAATTGCGGGTGCGTTTCACGTGGAGCGATTTGCGACATGTATAAAATAACAAGTGTACGACATTGTAACTCGTTTAAAATAAAATCCATAAAATATACAAATAAAAGCGGTAAAAGGTTAAAATGCACATAGGTCTAAGACATGTAATAGTTAGATAATCAAGCCGAGCATAATGGTAAAGTGACCGTGCTCAAACCATGAAATCTGGGAGTGCCTCACACCTTCTCCCTGGTTAACAAAATTCTTTACAAGTTATACGTAAGTATTCCACCAAATTTTCATAATTTAGAGATATTTTGTTATTTTCATTTTTTGAATTATTTTTAGTCGAATCCCCACACTCGTATCTGTTCTAGGATCCGTATTCCCGAATCTTAGAATGTACATCTCAAAGGATTCGACCTCTAGATCTGCACCCGTATCCGACACGCGCACCCGTGTCCGAGCCCCTTTGTGCAAATCTAACCTTTCTATTTGGCTAGTAGATCCAACATGGAGAAAAGGTCTTTTAACATCAATTTTATATGAAGTAAATGATAAATATATTTATCAATTTATCATCTATTTGATTTTTATCTCTTTTCTTGAAAGGACAATAAATGGTGAATCTAATAGATAGTATTCATTTCATCAAGTGGGGTGGTGTACAAGAACCCACACTCACTCTATTATTATGAAGTCTTTGTCTTTGTTTTTTCATAACAATTGACTGGACATTAATGTTTCAATACAAGAGACCTGTAAGCTATGTTGCTAGGACTCTCCGAAAATATTGCCGGGTGAGTGTCGGATCCTCCAAAAATAATGTATTTTTGGAGGATCCGACATGGGTGCAACATCATTTTGGAGATTCCGCGCGACATAGCTTGTAAGTCTTCTCCAAAACTTTATCATGTTCTCAATGTGGGTCCATATACTTCGTCCTACACCCTTAATCAGTCGATTTGAGCTCCGGATATGATAAAGCCCTGATAGGAAGTGCTTCTCCATTTTGAGGCTTGCTCTGCACGAATCAAGATTAGTCAGGGCCTAAATGCGAGTATCGAATACCAAGTGGGAAACCAAAAAAGGAAGTCTTCTCCAAAACATTATCATGGCTCCTATACAGGTCCTTGTACACTATCTCGATTGATAAAATGAATGCAACTTGCTGGATTCACCATTTATTGTTCTTTCCATCAAGAAAAAAAAAGAGAGAAAAAACCATATCTATCATTAACTTCATAAAATGACGTTAAAAGATCTTTTCTCCATATTGGACCAATTGTTGGAACATAAAATAACACATAGGGCATCCTACCATTTACAACTTGCAAGTGGTGATTGAAAGAGTAATAGTTAACTCGATCTCTTTGACCTTTCGAGTTTGGCAATAGCATGTTTTTTTTAATAAAAAAAACTACTTAATAATCATCGGTCTCGCTAATATTTTCCCAAAATTTTGAAGTGATTGTGCATTGATGCAAACCAAATAAAATCTGCGATGATGTAAACTTTTCATACAATTAGATCATCTATATGTCAACTATAAGTAAGTTTTATAGCAAGTATAAATAACCAGCCATACATGGTAAATAATATGTTACACTGGTAAAATAAAACTATGGTGATAGTGTTAATTTTCTTTGCAAAAATGATTAATTTATTAAACCTCACAAAATCTTGAATGTTAAGAGTAGAGTAAAGGTCTAAAACAAAAATCTTTCAAGAATGTAGAGAGTAGAGTATCATTCAAACTTTAGCAATAATTTTGACAGAAATTAATTTTCCGCAATCTCTAAAAGACTAAAACATATTCATGAAAAAATTAAAGAGCTGGCTTAATAATTTGGTGAGATTATAAATTTATATCGAAACCTATAATTTTATTTTAAAATTTAAAACCTAATAATAAGTTGAAATAGATTTTGTTCGATAGGTTCTATCAGTTCTTAAGAACCACTGATACCCCCACAAACGTAGTAATAAATGATAAAAGATAGCCTATAGTTGCAGAAAACATCTCCACCACTATCCGTCTTATCCTTATCTCTAGCAAGGGTGAAAAAGAGAAAATATCTTTATAGAAAGCTACAAGATGCTACTCCCTCTGTTCCAGTTTATGTGAACATATTTCCTTTTTAGTCCGTTCCAAAAAGAATGACCCCTTTCTAAATTTGGAAACAATTTAGTTTAAACTTACAATTCTACCCTTAATGAGAAGCTTTTATAACCACACAGATACTCTGGGCCCCTTTTTAACTTGTTTAGGACCATAAATCTCAAAAGTCTTCATTTTTTCTTAAACTCCGTGCCCAGTCAAACAGGTTCACATAAATTGGAATGGAGGGAGTAGTAATTTAGACGAGAACACACAACTAGTATACCATACTTCTTTATATTATCTAGCAATTATACTACGTAAAACAAAGTTTTCTGTAGAGATTACTTAAAGATAGAGATTACTCTGTCTAAGACACCCAAAGTAATTATAACTTCCTATATTTATCTCCGAGACTCATACCAGAACTGCTAATATGCTTCTTTTCTTCTCAACAAAGCGCAAATGAAGAAAAAAAACACTTCTCTTCTGTGTGGAATTTGATAGCACTACTATTCTTTCGTCACTACGAGAAGGAAATGTTGTGCAAACCTTTGTACAGAAGTTTCTTCCTATGTCGAAATTCAAACAGCAAGTAAAAGGACTAGTCATTTTCTAGTATCAATTATATCATCCAGTAGGGATGGCGATGGTGCGGGGCGGGTTTACTCTTATGCGGGTGCGGGGCAGGGCGGACCGGGTTAAAACAATTTCTAAAAATTTTAAAGCGGGGCAGGTTGCGGGTTTAATGCGGGTTCAATGCGGGGCAGCTTTGAACATGACAACTTCATTGGGCATAGTAATGGTTATCGTATTATCTTAATCTTGAAAACATACTCTTCCCCTAGAAAATGATTCACGTTTACAATCTTATTTAACTTGACAACCCCAATAATTGAGAATTAACTTAAGCAAACAAGAAATGAATCAGATATCTAATTAACCAATAATATGTTTATTATAACATGTGTTAACTTGTCGATATCCTTGAATATGATAGTGAGTTCTTTACACAAAATACAAACTTTGACATTCACGTAATTAATCCAATATCAAAATTGTTTTGTGATAACTATCACATATGTTATGAAAAAAGGTGATATACGCAAAATATGATACCTAAACGGATCACATTAGGTTTTTTCTTTATCTTATACTCCATTTTTATCACTTAATCGTAATTAAATGTGTAAATTTACTTTAATTTATGATTATTATGATTAAATTAGTTTTTTATTTTATAAATGCTAAAGAAGCATAAATATTTTACCTGAGGCCAATATCTTCAAATTTTTGTTTATTTACTGTATTATTCTCATATACATTACAATGACAACATTTGTAAATACATAATCTAGTATTTTAATTTTATTTTTTATAGTATATAATTTGTAGGGAAAAGGTCTAGAGTTGTTTTTGTACAAGCCATTTCAATGTTGTGTATCCTCCTATATCTAATATAGCATCACATAATAAAAGTACTCGTCCTCATTTATTTGTATGATTGGAGTATGTCAAACTAGTTTGTTAGAAAAAAAATAAAATAAATTTAAGTGAAGCAGGGCGGGGCGGGTTGAAAACTGAAAAAATAACTATGCGGGGCGCGGCGAAATTTTTGTGGGTTTTGCCAAACCCACCCCGCCCCACTACCATCCCTAGACATCCAGTGCTCTTAACTATCAGAACTGATATTTTGTTCAAAGGTGTAGGTCTGCAACTTTATGATAGCTGAGTGTGACAAATAATACTTTGGTCTGAGGCTGTGCTCTGTTAACATTCATTTGTCTACCAAATTCTTCAGCATTGCACCACTTCCAGGTTTTCCTTTCCAACATATCGAAGCAGATCACAAAGCAATGTTTACAGAATGGGAACCATTTTGTAGAAGCCTCTCTAATGAATCTGTAGGTATTTGTACTCTTTCCTAGTTAAATCAAACCATCCTACTGCTTGATGTGTCGTTTCCATTATAAATTTGAAGGATAAAAATTTGTCAGAATGATCCACCTCTCCACAATTAATGACTTCCAATTTGTTCAATTTGCTACCAGGGACATGAATTATGTTCTGCTTGTCATTACACGCTAGCTCTGTTCTAAAGCTCCATATAGATGTTATATTTCAAATATACACAAACACATATAAAAAATTGCGGACAACCATCCCAATTATCTAGGAAATAAGTAAACTTCCATTGTCAGTAGTTGGCAGCAATACCACTTCCAATATATTCTCAGTTAGTTTGCTTTTGTTTCATAAATGTAAGTGTAATTTGCCTAAATTATAGCAAAAGGCGCGAGTCAGTTCTCAACATTCATGTGATCCTTTATTAGAAAGACAAGCGACTAATGATGATAGTAGCAAAAGAGAGAAGTCACCACAATTTGAATTGTCCTCTCTCTCCAATCACTTCCTGTGCAACAGCCAACATGAATGGTAGTTTTAGCGCAACATTAATCCCTCTAATTGTGGTAGTTTTCAGGTGATGCTAATTTCTTCTGTTGTTCCACATTTCCGTCATTGCTTCTTGCCTAAGCCGGGGTTGGATAGCAAACTTGTCATTTCCTCATCTAATGTTTTTTCAGTTCGTAGAACAAGTTTGCCACCAGAACCTATGGAATCACTCCTTCCATTATCGATGTAATTATTCTGACTGTGTTATTTCTGTAGCAAGCTTGCAGAATATATATATATATATATATATATATATATATATATGTGTGTGTGTGTGTGTGTGTGTGTGTGTGTGTGTGTGTGTGTAATTTATGGCGTTAGTTTAGCATGTAATAAGTATTTCTTAATAACGAAAGAGAATTTTTTAGAAGAGGAAATCATGTAGTGCAACCGATAATTGCTGGAGGACTCAAAGACCACATGAAAAAATAGCTGGATGCTACCCAAAAGCTAAGTCCTTTTTACCTTATACAGAATAAGAAAGTTTACAAGATCTTTGCATTTGATAAGAGGTGTTACATCTTTGCAGCTTTACCTGCAGAGGGATAGTAAGTACCCATTTGAATCTAACTCGTTAGACGAAATTGTTATCGCATGCCTATGGCCACAAAGGACAGAAATATAAAATACTTAATTCACACTCTCACGGGTAAATATAACAAAGAAGTACCTTTAATTTCTCAATCAGGTAGCCTAACCTTCGGACAAGAGTTACATTTTCAGGTGATGCAAATTTCTCGTGTTTTGTATTTCTGTCACTGATTCTTGTCTAAGCCTGGGCTCGACTTTAAAATTGTCATTTCCTCATGGTCAATTCTTGAGGTTCATAGCTGAAGTTCCACGAGAACCTTTGCAAGCACTCCTTTCATCACTCGACGAATTGCGGGCTCAGAGAAAGTGCAAGCTCACTTTCTCAGTCAGGTAGCCTAACCCTTCGGAAAAGAATTACATCAAGCTTGAATTTAAAGAAATTGGAAAGGACTTTCAAAGTCTGCTTCCATTATTTAAGCACATATAATATCTTTTGATTTGAGGTTGATGTGTAAAACTGCATTTGATAGCAAATATACTATGCTAGAATGTTGAACAATTCAAAAGCCTTTGGTTCTTCATCAAGTGTTAGCTAGTGATTTTAAGAATGTATTGCCAGATTGCATCCCTTAACATTGCTTTCTTCATCAATTCTTGTGAGTTATGACACAGGGTTGTTTAATGTAAGAGCATATTGCAGATCTTGCATTGAAAGCCCTTGATCGGGAAGTTGCCTGAAATTTTTTGTTCTTTGACAGTATTGATAAGGTCAAAATGTCCTGGACTCATTTTGTATTCCCAGTGATCATATATGTAGAACAATACAATCACCCAGAGGTTAGTCTTGTTTAGTTTTATATGCATGTTATGAGACTATCTTGTAAAAGCCAACAGAAATTTTTATTTTCTTCTATTTTGTAGGAATTTGTAACAGTACAAGGTTCAATCAATTGTTTTCTCTGCTCTATCTTGAGAATGATCTGCAACAATACAAAGTCATTTCCTCATGGAATGTTCTTTCAGTTTTTAGCTGAAGTTTGTGCTCTCTATTTATTAAGTATTCGATGCTTGGAAATGAGTTCCTTGCAGTAGCTAAGGAGAGATTGAAACATTCACTCCTTTAAAAAACAAGAAGGAAAAAAAGGGAATATGATGATAAAAATAGACCTCGAAAAAGCTTTTGATCGATTAAAATGGTCTTTTATCCGTTATTCCCTTCAACACTTACGCTTTCCGCTACCCCTGATTAACCTCATAATGTCTTGTGTTACATATTCCTCCATATCCATGATCATTAATGGTACTCCTACACCCTTCTTCCAACATTCTAGAGGTACAAGACAAGGAGACCCCCTATCATCGTACCTATTCATCATATGTATGAAATCATTATCCCGAATCATCGAGCACAACATAGACATTTGCTGGTGGACCCCATTCTCCTTAATAAAAATGCTCCACCTCTCTCACACCTCATGTTTGCAGATGACCTCATCCTCCTAGCACAAGCGGGCCTCTAACACCTCTACAATTATCGAAATATTCCAACAATTAAGTGCAATATCTGGACAAAGAATCAACTTCCAGAAATCAAAGCTTCTCTTCTCAGCAAACGTAAACCCTTCTCTTAGCCAAATCATATCTAACTCCTTAAATATCCCCATCACCACAAACATAGGCAAATACTTAGGTGTCCCAATTACACATATACAACTTAAAACATCTTATTACCAATACATTATTGATCGAGTTACCTCAAAACTAACAGGTTGGAGATCACAATTCCTCATTTTGGCGGGAAGAACAATCCTAATCAAATCAGTGCTAAACACAATTCCCACATATGTAATGCAAATTAACTTACTACCACCCAAACTAATTCACAAGCTCGAACAAATTCAATGAAATTTCCTCTGGGGCTGAACTGATCTAAAACGAAAACTGCATTTAATTAACTGGGATAAATAACCACGCCAAAATCAGAAGGGGGCTTAGGAATACAAAATCTTTGGCACTATACTCACACCAATAACTCTCCTTGGATAGCAATATTATCAACAAAATATGACCACCCGTAAGAGCTTTCTAAAAATTATTTATACAAACAAAAAACTCGCCCTAATGACTCCTACATTTGGAAGAGCATGGTTAAAAACATCGATTATTGCCGCTCAGGAACCAGTTGGAACATAACCAATGGTAAAAACATAAATCTTTGGACTGATAAGTGGATTGCTAACAACCTATCTCTCAGAAACTTAATCCATGGACCTATTCCAAAACATGAACTCTATATACCAGTGGCACAACTCATCTCGCACTCAACATGGTACACCTCCAATCTCTCCTTTCTACTACCCCTCAGATCATATCCCTCATTCAAAACACCCCCATCCTTACAACCCAACAAGGAGATGATACATCCTACTGGCACCACTCTAACGATGGATCATTTACCACTTCCTCAGCCTATTTATATATACTACACCAAGACCACCCCTGTAAAATAAAATTTCTTAATAATTGGATTTGGAAACTAACCACACTACCAAAAATAAAGTATTTTTTATGGCTTATTGCACATGAGAAACTCCCAACTAAAACATTGCTATACCATAGAAAAATCACTAACAACCCTTACTGTCGAACTGTATTAATATACGAGAGAACATCCCACACTTTTTTCTACAATGCAAACCAACAAAAGACATGTGGAACCACTTCCGTATAAGAACACCTTCAACCAACCTCATACAATGGATACACAAACTATGCACCTCTCCAACACTACTATACCATTTTTCATTCTAACTCCCATCCTACTGTGGCAACTCTGGTTAAATCGCAATAATAATCATTTCAAAAACCAAAATCACCAAATTGACCCCACCACAATCATCTCACTAGCGTCCCAAGTATATTACTTAACAAATATCTCTAGCAACAAAACCAAGGGTAAGAGAAATTATTCCTTGGACTAAACCTCAAGCACCTCATTATAAACTCAACATTGACGTGGCCTACGACCCAACAAATCATCATGGAGGAGCAGGAGGAGTCTTCTGTGACTCCATAGGGCAATGGATTTATGGATTTGCAACACACATACCAAGTACAAATGTCCTACAAGCAGAACTACTGGCACTGTATCATGGGCTTACTATTGCTATCAACCGAAGCCTCCATCCAATAATGGTCGAAACAGACTCACAGGTATTACTCCAAATACTTCAAACTGGTAGTCCAAGATTCTCACAACTCATAACATCTTGCAGGTCAATGATCCAGGAACTCAACATCCAACAAGTTAATCACATAATGAGAGAAAGCAACGGAGTGGCGGACGCACTTGCTAAATTCGAAAAATTAGACACAGGACCACCACCACACCTAATTGTGTTTTTTGAACCGAACCCCCCTCCCCCCCCCCCCCCCTTTTTACCCTCCATGCAAATTCACTTAGATGTAATTGGCACTAGCAATATACCTTGAAAACCTCTTGTACTTTCTTAATTATCAATGAAATCTTCCCTTGCAGCAAAAAAAAAAAAGAGAGATTATTTATTTTCAAATCTTCTGCTATCTTTTTTAAAGGCAACATCATTTATACAATTTATCAGCTCTTTGATCTGTTGGCAGCACGCATAGTGAAAAGGATATTAACTTCGCAATTTTCTGAAGTAGACGACTTAAATCAGAAAACACTAGTTAAGAACTTTGCAATTTTTAACAAGTATATATTTGTTTTGTTTCCTTAAATAGTCATTTGCGAACAATCATCATTTGCAAACAGTTATCTACTATAACTAGGGAGATTAAAACAAAATGCCTAAAGATTCATATGCGAACAATCTTTTATTTTTTATTGAAAGAAAAGTAAGTATACAACAAGGCTTTTGAGAATAACAATCTCTGCAATTATATCCCTCCATATATTTGTAATTTTTCATACTAGGATTTCCAACTACTATCCAAAAAACGATAATAGGCATGTTTTCATGATCTCTTGAAAAGCAAACAAGAACATACTCCCCAAAAGCTAAGACCAAATCCTATTGCCATTGAAATGTAGAACCAATCCAGTTAGTCTTCATCACTCTCATCCTTTTCAGCATAAGAAATTTGACCACCTGAACTGTATTTTTCCAAGAGTGCAAGCCCGCAAAGTTCATTTTCCTGGAAACTCGAGGAATTAAAGCTTTGAAGTTGAGTGCCCACATGTATCTTCCCTGACAAATTGATATAAGATAGATTCAAGAAGCTCAAAGTTGACAAACTCGAAAAGCTTTGCGGGATTTGACCAGAAAGTTGATTTTCTAAAAGATCAAGAGATTCCAGCACTTTCATCTAACCAATGTCATTAGGGATCCTGCCTGTCAGATGTTTTTTTGAGAAATCACAGAATCTCAATCCTACAAGCCTAGTAAAACTTATAGGAATATCTCCAGAGAGATTATTGTTAGACATCCATGCTTGTAACTAATGCCAATATTTTATCATACTAGTAAATATTGCCTTTAGTTGTCACAATTGCGCTTTCTCAAAAACGTGCTTCGAAATAATGAGAAGCATAAATAATATCAGCTTCCCCCAACTTATTTACGGTGACCATTTCTGTTAGATTGCTAATACACCTTGGTATAATTTCAAAGAAACTATTGTTTGCAAGGTCTAAGATTTGAAGATCTTTGAGGTGACAAGTTTCTGGAGGCAATTCACCACAGAATTTGATTGAGCTAAGGCTAAGGATTATTAAATATAAAAGCCTCATTCCCAACCATGTGGTAACTGTCCATCAAGCCCATTCTCAGCTACATCTATCTTCTGCAATTTTATGCAGTTTTCCAATGATGAAAACAATGGACCGGTAAGTCTATTTTCTTCGGAAGTCCAAGGATATCAAGTTATTTAAAACCTCCATGGATCTTGGTATGCCCCAATCAGGTTATTGTCCCTCAAGATTAAAACTTTCAACTCTCGCCAGATCATCCAACAATCAGGAATTTCTCCAAACAAATCATTTCCCTCGAGGTTTAAGACCTCCAATTTGTAGGATCTGTTCTTATTTGTTTCACACAAGAAGTGAGATAAACCCCCTGAAAAGAAATTGTTCGAGGGGTCTATCACAGTTACATTGGGTGAAATTTGAGGTATCAGACCACTGAAATTGTTGGAATCCAAGTACATTAATCAATCATCTTGTCCAGGTGACCAAGAAGGTGTTGAGATGGTTGGAACCTCACCAATAAATTGGTTGTGAGAAATATCAAGTAATTGAAAAGATAAGTTCCAAAACCAAGTTGGAACCTCACCTTGTATTCCACCATTTGATATGTCCACACTATTTATATTCTTTTGAGTTTGGAGTCACTTGGGGAATAGAGGACCTATATTCCAGTTGCCTATATAAATATCTATGGCTTGAAAAGGTGGAATCCAGTTCTGACTCACTTTTAAAGTTAGATCATTGTTAGATGCAAAGAACTGTCTTAATTGTGTCCATTTGGTGAAATAATTTTCTGTTACAACATCTTCCAACCTATTGTTAGAGATGTCAATAATTTCTAGCATTGGGAGTTGGCCAAGACTTTCTGGGAGAGTTCCAGTCAGTTTATTGTTTCCTAGATACTATTCCGTCAAAGAAGAACTATTTCTCAATTCCGCTGGAAGGCAATTACTCCTATCAGTAAATAATTCAGATAATTCTCCCTCAATATTGTTGAATGTAAGATCAAGATTTTTAAGTTTTGTTACGTTTCCAGCCTCACTCGGCATCGCACCTTCAATACCACTGAATATAAGCTCAAGATATTCAAGATTATTAAGATCAAACAACCATTTGGGTAAAAGTCAATTGAAAGAGTTGAAATCCGCCATGAAAGTCTTGAGAGAAGTAAAGTTAACATGACCTTCAAGAAATGGGCCAATTAAATTACTATCACTCAAATCAAGAGAAACAAGATTAGGGAGATTGAAAACCCATTTGAGAATAGAAGAACTAAAGTTATTCCTAGAAAGGTCGAGTGTTTCAAGTGAAGAAAAATTATGATGAAGTAGAGGTGTGGTATCTTACACCTCTGTAATTCAAAACAATATAATGTCAACAAATTGAATTTTCAAGATTCAATTTGCAGAAAAATAAAATAAATGTCCTTACTTTTGGCAAGAGAACAGGACCAGATTTCATGCACCCGATATATATACGTGGTTTCTTACGATGCCTTGCTAAAGTTTCCCTTAGTATAGCTGCAACAGATAAAACTAGTCATGTAACATTGAGACACAGTTGCATTTGCTGTAACAAGTCTTACAATCTCAATATAACATCTAAAAAAAATACGAAAAATATTTTATTATCTATATTGACATGAACATCATCATTAACTTTGATGTAATACTCTGCATCCAACAAGTTAACGGCAGAGGCAAAATAAGTCTTTGTTTTGGCAGACAATTCGAGATAAGCCTCAATATGATCCTGTTTAAAAGGTAGCAAAACTGATGAATCGTCTTTTACGTATGCATACATAAATTGAGTTATTGCAGTAAATCAGAGACAAATATATTACCAGCCTCAAGGAATCACCATGTTTTTTATCCTCAGCTTCAATAGCTTTGTCTAATATTCCCCCCTACTGTGGCACTGCACAATGAGTTTATAGCTTTTTAGACAGAATGCTATAAGATTATGCTTACAATAAATCTTAACAAACAAGAGCTGATCTGTTGATGTATGAAAACATTTGAGGCAGAATTACAATACCTATGCATATAATTAAATTACTATGATATCACCATTTTGTACCATCCCGGGAAGGCCAATGTGGTGGCCGATGCCTTGAGTAGAAAGGATGTGAGTATGGGTAACCTTACATATATTCCAGTTGGTAAGAGACCGCTAGCATCAGATGTTCAGGCCTTGGCCAATCAATTCTTAAAGTGTCACGACCCCAATCCCCTCCGTAGGATGTCGTGACGGCACCTAGTTTCTAAGACTAGATAAGCCTAACAATATGCGGAAACATCAAATAAAAACTTAAAATTTCAAAACTTCAACAATTTCATCAATATACTAAAAGCGCAATACGTACAATTTCCCAAAATCCGGTTAGATATAAGTCACAAGCTCTAGATACAATGCTGAAAAATCCTATATATCACTGTCTATCAAAATATAACGAAATAAGGAAAACAGGACAGAAGGGGACTCCGAGGCCTGCGGACGCGGGCAGGTGTACCTTGAAGTCTCCAAGTAGCAACACAGTGCACTAATACCGAGGTTGATAGGATGTGTCTGGATCTGCACAAAACATGTTCAGAAGCGTAGTATGAGTATACCACAACGGTATCCAGTAACTGCCAAGCCTAGCCTCGGAGAGTAGTGACGAGGTCAGGTCAAGGCCCTACTTGAGATAATAAGAAACAAGACAGAAGATATAATGATATAATGAAAATGACAGGGAAGTGAATAATAAAGAATTTACGAGAAATAACAACACAGAATCAAGGGAAGTTAATACAATGAAAACAAGAATTTTACATGTTAAGGAAAAACAAGAACCAAACAATACAGCAAATAAAGAATATCAACAGGGCACTCCTGAAGTACCGCCTCGTAGTCCAAAATCGTAAAAACAAATCACAGTCTTTCCTTTTATCACCGCGGGAGCCTTTATATTTGGTTTTTGAAAATTATTTTCCCGAAATAGCATCCCGCGTTTTAGCTCATTATCACACTACATGGCTTCTAGTAGTTCCCTTACTAGTAGTTCCCTTACTAGCCACGCGTATCAAGCGCACCTTATCTTACCGGATGCGTTTCAGCACCCAGAACTTATACCACCACATGCGTATCATAATCACAACGACATGGTAGAAACCTCGTACAAATAATAACAACCGCATGGCAGAAACCTCGTGCAACAACCAAACAATCACCTCAACAATAACACGAAAGCTAATACATAACAACTAAATAAATGATATTTCACAACTTACACCTTGCCTCAACAGAACCACAGTCTTGCAATTCAACACCAAACTCAATAGCAAAATATTTCAAGGATAGAAAATTTCAAGCAAGGAATTCCACAGTTAAATAATGATGTTCTAAACGTCGATACCACACAAGAGGGGGGGGGGGTAATTTGTGTGGTACCCAATTTTCGCTCTAGAAGAACTTGGTTCTTCTAGGTGTACTTACTACTACTGTTTGCGGAATTAAGAGTGCATAAAATAAAGAACACGGAGATTTTTACGGGGAAAACACCTGGCTCAAAAGGTGAAAAACCACGACCTACTACTCAGTAGGATTTTCCCAAACTTCCACTAAAATCACTGAGCCAAAACAGCATTTACAAAACTCTTGTAAGCCTAAGGATTAAACTCTAATCCCAGTGTGG